TACATGATTTACACTTCAGAAAAATGAACATGTTCAAATAAAATATGCTGAATCATTTTCCACAGTACATTTAGATACATCCAGGAAAATGTGATATCCATATATTTAAGAGGCAATCTTGAAAAGATTTCGGGCAACTGATTATTTTAAACATTTAAATTATAGGTATAGAATAGAGGAAAACTCTTTTACGTAAATCACCATAGAATTTCTATATTTTACTATGAATTATAGAGAGATGCAGAAGGACACAGGTGAGCTTTATCAAAATTTAGATATTTGAGGTTTTGAGATACTGAGACATTGTTGACAGAAATTTCATTTATTGGGAAGACATTGAAATAAACTCATTTAACATCACAAGAATTGAGAATGTATAAAGAAGTCTCTAATTTATTAATGAAAATGAACACAAATAACATAAATGAATAAGGACTTGAAGAGTGGTCTATAGAAAATAATGTAATGGAGTAATGAAGTAACATGTCACTTTATTCCTTTGGATAATACAAATAAAACTCTCATTGAAAAGCATAACAAATATATTACAATTTGTCTGTGTTCAATGACAGAGTATTCACAAAATGGTGGAGGCAATTAAATTCTCACACAGGTGTTAGGGAACTGTAAAATCCTTCTGAAGCCTGCCTCTATTCATACTAGTCCTGAGCATAAAGCCAAAAATAGAGCAGTTTAGTTCTTGATAAACAGAAGTCAGTGGATACTGTACTTTGTTCCAAAAGGTCAGTGAACAAAGAGGCATATCATCAATCTGTAATTGGATTATAAAATTGATTCTCTACTCATTGTTATTTACAGTTAACAGACAACAAAATCAAATGAAAGAAGAATAAAAACTAGTGTAGCTTAGACTGTTATTTTAAAAATCATACAATTTGTAATATCACACAGACATCACAAAGAACTAGATTGTGTCTTGGGACAGGGTGAAGGGATTTCATGGAAGAAAGAATATATGTATCTTGTGGACTCAGCTCTGTCACCCTTAATGCACAGCTTGCTTCAGTATTTAAAATTTTATTCCAGACTCCACAAATATTTTATGACCCTTCCCGTGGGTCCAGTTATTCAGGGTTCCTGAAAGAGTCATGGGTGAGAGAAGGGAAGAAGACCAAGCAGCGCAAGAAAAGGGAATAACAGGAAGGAACATCTGGTGTATGCTGGGGCCGGAACATTCTTCTTATCAGCTGGAACATCTTGTGGTCTTCTCCTGAACAGCGAACAGGGAAGCTCCATGTCCCTTTCTCAGAACAGAAGCAGTTAGCAGGTCCACTTGTTCAAACCATCTAATTACAGGTTACAGGAGGCTCACAGAGCTGGCTTTAAGCTGCAAACTTAAAGGTCATAAAAAGGTTTACAAAAGGTGTGCTTTAATCTGTGTAGTTTTGGGCCCATGGCCCTTTACAATTTTATTTTTCATTTTTCAAAAAGGTAGTTTGTCACTATTGTGTCCAGTAACATGCCTTTTTTTAAAAAAATTAAAATTCAATTTCCCACATAGAGAAAATATTTGGGTAATTCTTCTGTGATTACTAAATTCTTCATCACAATGTTGTCAACCTCCATCCACACAAACAAGTTCCTTTCATGCATCACTTATTTTAATTTTTACTTGTAGCCCTATTTGTGTGCCTTTAGCTTTTGAATTTATTATTAGGCCCTGTGAACCCACCTGTAGAAAGAATAGGGCTGACCTTTGTTATTCCTACCCCTAACCCAATAGTAGCCTCTAGTTCATAATTGAAGTGTACAATCCCATGAGACACATGTTCTTCAGTAACATCCAGCAGAAACAAATTTGTTACTTTATGTCAGTATAAGAAAATATGCTACTTGTGAATAATTATCCAAAAAAAACTTAAGATTTTTAAAACACAAGGTATTGGAAAAACACAGTCGATTCAAAATTGCCCTGGTACCTGAAGTGAGTCACTTGAAACACACACACACACACACACACACACACACACACACATAACACACACACACACAGACACACACACACACACACACACACACACTGAGAAAGAGGCAGAGACAGAGACATAGAGAAAGCAGCAGAGGCAAAACCAGAGACAGAGAAAGACACATGAAGATTGAACAAGAAGTGCAGAGACATCTTTTTCTGGGATCACTGAATTTTATTGCAGTTCTGGAAAAGCCCGTTGAGATTTCTTAATTTTGAAAATTATATATGTATATTATGACTCTAAACAGCTCCTTGGAATATGTCTTAATGGTTTAATATACTATTTAATAGATAGTTTGTCTTCTATGTTCCTTGATACTCTATTCACAAAAGCTGGGAAAGGAAAAATATTAATATTCTATGCCTGTTTAATGAATACTAAGATAGTAGGAAATCTATAAAATGTTATTATATGGCAAAGAAAAATGAAGTCATGATATTTGCAGGTAAATGAAAGGCACTATTAGAAGATCCAACTGAGTATTATAACTAAGCCCTTAAGTATAAAAAAGACAAATGTGGCATGGTATATCTCTTCTGTTATTCCTAGCTCTGATTATTCAGTCGACAGTTGTGAGTGATCTGAAGCAAACCAGGATCTTTTGGAAGAGCAGCCTGTGTTGTTAACCTCCGAGTCTTCGTTCCAGTCTCACCCTCGCCCCCTCAACACCCCATCTCAATTGCACTCCCACTTTGACAAGGAAGGAAAAATCTTGAAGCTGGGCAAGATCCGGGAGGCGGGCCTAGGGCTGAGAAGGCGGAGCCCCACGTGGCGCCGTCGTCGTGGAAACAGCGGCACCAGAAAGCGGAACTACAACTCCCGTCACAGCCTGCGCTTGGGTCCACAAGATGGTGGCGCGCAAGAGGAAAGCTGCAGCTTGAGCGATGAGGGGAGCACACCCAGCCCAACAAGTTATTCAGCCATTCTTGTCAAGTTCACCAAACAGCAGCAGGCTTCCCATTACCTGTATGTGAGAGAGCACAGAGATCGATGAGACACTCAGTCCACGTGGCCTTCCAATAAGACCCTTTTTGTCCTCAATGTGCCCCCGTACTGCACAGAGGAGCGCCTGTCCTGACTCCTGTCCTCCTGTGGCACCATCAAGACAGTCGACTTGAAAGAGAAGCCTGACCATGCTGAGAGCGCTAAAGAGGCAAAGCCAGAGTTTTTTCACCCGAAGCTCATTCCGGACTTTCAGGTAGCTTATGTGGTATTCCAGGAGTGTCAGCTGCCTTGAATCTGAAGGGCCCATTTCTGGTTTCTACAGGGAACACTCTGTGAGGAGCGGGATTCATAAGTGGATCAATGAGTACAAAGAGTCGGGGTCATACCCAGAGGCCCTGAGGGTCGAAGTAGACACATTCATGGAGGCTTACGACAAGAAGATAGCTGAGGAGGAGACCAAGGCAAAGCAGGAGGAAGGTGTTCCTGATGAGGAGGGCTTGGTGAAGGTGACCCACAGGGGCCACAGGCCTGTGCTCCCTCAAACAGAAGCAGCCAGCCTGCGTGTTCTCAAGAGGGAGAAAAGGAAACGTGCACGCAAGGAGCTGCTCAACTTCTATGCCTGGCAGCACCGAGAGA